AAATTCTTTGTAACTCTATTATTTCTTTAAATTAATATGGCAACTATTATAATTTTTAACATTCAATGCTATAAGCATTTCACTTGTTCTAAATACATTCCATATCATGATTTAGTGTCCAACTTTATTTGTAATCCAATGGAAACGCTGTATTTCTTCAAAATAATGAGTGTTAATTTTCATAGAAGAACAAAAGTCAATACTATATCAAATTCTGTTCATAGTCGGCTTCTATTTTCATAGTGCTTCATAGAATCGCGTTTGTAAAAATAGTCATTTGCATAAATTTGGACATGCGATTTCGTTGGCCGCTTTTGTATATTAATTAAGTAAAAATGACGTCAAAAGGTCAACCTATAATATTTTTGCATCTATTGATAAAGGATATACGTACATGCAGTTTAGATTTAAATTGACGTCTTGTCGTAAAAGATACTACATGTGTAAAAGTAAAAACCAATACGAAATGTCAATTAATATTTTTATTACGAATCAGGGTCTTTCAAATAGAAATTTGAATGACCCTGTACGAATGTAGAAAAAGGTCTTAATTAATTTGTAACTAAGATGAAAATCACGTGTGTCTATTCACGTTTTTCGGTAGACAGAAAGTGAAAGTAGACATTAAGTTGTTGGTAAATATATTACGTGAGGCTCCTGTTAACACATGACAATTGGTGTATACATGTATAAATCATATAAGATATTAGCTACTAAGTAACAGATGTCCAACTAATGAAAGTGTATAAATCATGTCAGGTAACAATTATCCAACTCATCAAAATGTTATCCGGAAATAAATGTTTCAATATCGAGCAAATGGAAACTCGTATCAGCCATATGCCGCCCCTGAAACACAAGGAGTACATGCGTCTTCGCGCGCAAAGTGACGTAAATCATACATATTTATAAGGTCAAATTAAATCCATCATTTAGGTAATTGATTAATAAAGCGGACTGGTAGTGACGTAATAAGACGAATATGTAAGTATTCATCCGTGCCTGTTCTTTATCCGGTCGCTATCACTCCCGTCGAAGTTTCTTATTTCTGTAGAACAGCACAGATGAACACTTACACATAATTATCACGTACCCGTGCCGTCTATGTGACTCAGTAAATATGGCATTACACGCCCGTGCATATATTCTGACATTACGTCATTTGCGTTATACAAATATAGTGTAAAGAACAATTATTCTTTTCTCACTTTAAACAGTTTTTATTTTGGGGTTTAATATATGTGGTGCAACGTGAAGGGTCATTACTGAAGTTATTGTTAAAATAGAGGCTCGCATTTGATTATTTTTTTTTAACGAGCTTGATAAATTCAGTTATTGAACTTACACTAATTTAATATCCTCTATAAAATTCAAATTTTCCCCTCCCTACAGAAGGAAATAATTATTAAATTTCTAAGACTTTGTTAAGTGTGCGCTACAATTAGCATGCACACATGAGAGGACACTAACATACATGATCCAAACATAAATACCAAAGACCGATAGAGACGTTTCAACTTCCTGAATTATCGGGTTCATATTCACAAATTTATTTCAGCTTCTAGAATTCAAGATTAGTTTCATGACTTTACGGATTTAACATAATGAATTCACGATTTCAACTTCACGAATTCACAATTTCAACATCATGAAATCTAAGTGACCTAGATGACAGGACCATTTCGGACCTCTGTAGCATGATTTATTCAAGTTTGGTACACGTAGAATGCCACATGGTGATGCTTTATACAAAATTTCTCATCTTGAAACATTGTTGTTTTGTAAAAAATTTCTATGTTTCATTTTTAAAGTATATTCTATGTATAACTTACTTAAGCATCAGACTTAAATCATTAATTAAAGTTTGGTTGATAGTCAGCCTATGATTACTTGTGTGAATGTTGGCCAAACTTATTTTATGTAGAAGATGTTTTTAAGACATTATTTGTTTGTTTGTTTCATTTTACGCCTTTTTCCAACAGTATTTCAGTCATATAGGCGAGTAGTTTCCTAATCATCGTTCCTGGAGAGTTACACCAGTACTAGACTACCTTCCTCCGTTTTAAAACATTAAGTACGATGACGACGCACTATGGACGATGGACGACAGACATCATTCTGTTGCAAAAGCACGTCTCTGAGTACTATATATACAAAGACATTCTCCTTTAAATTTGAAATATTTTTTTTTTTTAATTAATAGTATAGACCTTTTTACGACGCGGTCCGTTGCTATGAAAAATCGACCGGAATTAGAATTTTCTAGCGCATGCGCAGTCTGCGTAGGGCAAAAAAATGCTTCGCCCTACATAGAAATATAGTAGAAGTTCTTTATATCAAGTCCTGTCATGTCAAACAACTCAGTTGAGCCGTTCATTATCTTTTGTGTAAATTCGTTTTTACATCTAACTACAAATGTCTATGTTTAATAACTGTCAATTACCATACAGTTTATTGTAATTTTAATGTAAAATAAGTGTTCAATTTTGCAAAGATACATGTAGTCTTATGTATTGCATTTTCTAACTTGAGGTTATCTTGGCTCCGGTTGAATGAAATATAATAAGAAAGTACAATCTTACCGGTGAAGGCTATTGCAATGAGTTCAAACAAAAGAATAGCCTTTAATGTAATTTTAAACATAGCCATATCTTTTTGAAATCATAAACACATCTTTTTTATTTATTGAACACAACTTTACACAATTATCCAGGAGGTAAAGATATGAATTTAAATAAACATTTGACGTAGATCTACTTAAATAACTGTATATACGAGTACATGTACCTTATAAAGAGTATGCTGACCCCCTTATATATTTCATATGCCTGTTTAAAATAAGACTGTTACATGATTAAAACAAAGTTCGTTATGGTTTTTTAAAAGTTATTAATAAAGTTCACATTGATATTTTCACTTCATTGGCTACTATACTTTTAAAGATGTGTATTGTAATCTTAAGATTTTCTTTTCTTTTCTTTAACACGTATTTATAAGAAATATGTTTTCTCTTTTTTTCATTGATATTCTACTTGGAAAGCAAACGTTTTATTGGGATAAACCGCTTTTATTTATTTTAAAAAGTATGTGTTCGGGCCATTATTTGTTCGACAGATAAAGAGATGATATAAACACATAGATATATATTAATTGTTTACTCGGGTTTTTAGCTTAAATGTAATGTTTTATATGTTTTACAAGGTTGTTTAGGAATAAGTATCGAAGTCGGTATAAATGAACCTAAGATAAACTCTACATAACTAATAACATTATTAATAACAAAAGGTAAATTAAGCATATTAGTCATTTTAATTTACAGGGTTTTTAGAACAAAACAAGAAAGGAGACCATCAAATATTTTTATAATAGAAGCGACTTATTACACGAAGAGATTCGTTATCACACGCTTGTAATCATTAAAAAAATCTTTATTTACAACTTCATTGTATATTATAAACAAACACCTCTTTATCTATACATGTAATACACGTGTTATGTTCATATGCATAATGATGTCAACGGTTTTACGAACAAGATTTCATAAAATACGTACGAGGGTGCTTTAGTTAGATCATAAAATACGTACGAGGGTGCTTCAGTTAGATCATAAAATACGTACGAGGGTACTTCAGTTAGATCATAAAATACGTACGAGGGTGTTTCAGTTAGATATATTATATCTCGTGTGATTTATTTACAATATACATGTATCTTTATGTGATGTCAGAGGGTAACAATCTTACATGGCAACATCACTTTTTAGCCCATTGAAATTACTTAAATTCCCTTATATAGGGTACCTTGTTTTAGTTAATGTTACCAAGCTGAAGGCATGAAAATTGTTTCATTTCTTTATATCATTTCATTAAATAAAAATGTGCATGATAAAATAAGATACCAAAAAAATGAGTGTACGAAAATAATAAAATGCTGTAGTTTTCGTTTACTATAGCTATTTAATTCTATATTAGAAAGGTTATGAACCCGTCGACTTTGGTGTGGGAAAATTCCAATCATAATAATAATAATAATAATAATAATAATAATAATAATTAAAACAAATCTTAAATGTATATGCAATTCATCAATTAGAATTTTGTAAAGAAATATTGCATTTAAGTTTATGCAAGGCTGCACATGACAGCATACTTGTCTTTTTCAATCGCATTGGTGAAACTAGCTAACACAAAATGCCTGTAGATGATAATATAAAAATATGTTATCTAACTGATAAATTTTGACCATTCTGGGCACTTTTTGTAATTTAGATACTTATTCTTATTAATCTATCCAACAGAAAAAGACCAAGTTAGTCTGATAAATTTATTTATCAAGTTAACACAAAAACTAACTAGTTAGTCAGATAGTTAGCGCTAACTGTTTGCAGAAGAAACTTGATGACAAAATAAACTAATTTTTAAATTATGTGAAATTTTAGCATGACATTTTTCGGGTTGGTTTTAATAACGAGCCCCGGCACATTTTAGACAAATAGATTTTTGTACCAGGCATTTTGTTGTATCGTATGTCAAGTATTTCTAGCCGTGCTGCTATGGCGTTTCCATGGTTATTTAAGGCAGCCTGAGATGATACCGAAAGGAATTATATCAATAAACATCACTTTTTGCGCAGCTATATGACGAAAACATGAAATTTGTCAGAATTATAAACAAAGTCGGGTAATTCTTGAGTATCTCACACACACACACGCACGCACGCACGCATACACACATACATATATTAGTTGTGATGGGTCAGATTATGGATATGATAACAAATAAATGATAGTTAAAGACATCCTCTTGAGATACATGTATCTTCTTTACATTCAAGTAGTTTCTTATAATATTATGCATTGCCTTACACTATGTATGTCTTGCAGACCGGTAAATTATGAAACCCCTAATTATCAATAGAAATGTATTTTCGACGCAAGAAAAACACACATTAATGAACGTTTGGTGTTAAAAGTTTATTTCACAAATCAGTTAAGTTTTCTCCTACGGAAGAATACCATAAGGACAACTTCAGGAACTTTGTAACTATCACAAAAAGACGTGACACTTTTTCAGAATTACATTTGCTTTTCCATCGTATCAGTTATGAATGTATCTATGAACAGTTGATCTTTCTTAAATGTTTGCACATTTTGTGATAATAACTGTCACAAAGAGCTGCAATCTATTTTCGATAATGTACATAGTATATCAATGCAATAAATATGATTATATATTAAGATCAATGTTCATATTTAGACTTAATAGCTAACATTTGTTCAAATTAAGATCGCTGCTGGTTTCGTTGAACTCGTTCATTTTTTTTCTCAGTTTTGTTTTACGTTCACAAGTATTCAAAATTGTAAATTAAATATCATAAGTAAAATGCCTTTCAGCTGAACTTCGTCTTCAATTATTTAACACTACACTCCTAATACGTCATATGTTTGTTTATCGTCTTTTAGTTCTGTCTTCAGTGACGTATATTGAGACTCTCTGGATTCATCTGGGTCTGTTCCCTGTTGGTCATCACCAACATTTGTTGAGAACACCATATTTGTATATAAAGGTGCATTGTGTCTAAAGTAAAAAAAAATATACATCAATTTATTTATATATGCATTATTAACGTCTTCAAACTCAATTTTGTTTCAAATATCAAATACAGTTTTCATTCCTTTGCTTGTAATAAGCAGAATATTGTTGGCGAATTTCAAAAGAATTTAATTAAAAAATCAAACAATACAATTTAAAACTATACCCTTACATTTGTGCTTGATATATAAATTATATTTTTAAATACTGCTATCAATTTTATCATAAAATTTTAACATCAATGTGACAAAATAACTTGATTTCAAGGATAATAAGCTTTATCTTGTAAGCTGTTATAACAGTATAATTATGTCGTTTTGAAAGTCACACGTGGATATTGTATGTTAACTGGAGAAATGTTACAGAACAAAATAATATGCTCATATGTTAATTAAAGTTTAAATATTAAGCAATTATGTAGTGTATGTGCCATTCGCTTAGGAAATATACAATATTTTTTTTGTTGAAACACAAACAAAGAAACAAATAAAAATGGAACTGATGAAATGATGACTTACTTAGTCAGCTTAGTGGGCTGTCCAGAGTTATTGCCCGCTAAAACAAAAATAATGAGAATGACAATTATATTTAACATAAAAATATAAAAGACATTTTCGACATCCTATAAGGCAAAATTTACATTTTAATAAAATAACGTTTACGGAATTTAACTGAAAAGTAACCATTTCAAAGAAATTTATATGAAAAGAACCCCACCTGTGTTTTCACCTTTTCGTTTCAGTAGTATTGTAACATATCCAGCATATGTCACGACTATCACGATGATTATTCCAAGTACAACTCCTACAATCACTGCTTTTATGTCATTATTACAGGCGCCGTTATTGTAATCTTGTACCTTTGCTTTTCCTAAGGTTAAAAAGAAAAGAAATTCTAAAATCAAGCAATTCATTTCAGCTTTCGTTTATATTTTCATTTTTAGTTATAAGTTACAAGCCCTTTGAAACTTTTGTTTTATATTTCTCATGTAAGCACTCTGGGTAATATACATAAACAATATCAATTTATTTCAAAAAAAAGGACACGAATTCCTCGCATTCCACTGTATTGTCAATCTGCGGACGGACTGTGTGACAACTGGAGTGACAGACAAAGGCAAGGCTTAACCTAATTAAATAGGGTAATAAAAAGGATCAACAGATGGTCGTACAGATACATACATTACATTAAGACATGGCAAGAACAGAAATTTGTTTCTTCTCGACAATACTAGCTGACCTTTAGTTTTGGCAAGTATTATATCAGATTCTTCCGAGTTCCCCAGCATATTAGAAGCATACAACACAATCTCGTAGTATGTCCCGCTTGATAATCCGGTAACAGTGTAGGTCATTTCATATTCCCCTGTATCAGATACTGACACATTATTCCATTCATCATCTGATACCTTTTTATACATTAATATAAACGTTTGTTGATGGCCATTGTCATTGCCAGGAGTCCATGTTACAGTAATTGAACTTTCTGTACTCAATTGTTTTGCGAGAATAAGATTTCTAGGAAGATCTGGTTTATCTGAAAAAAATTATTATGATAAACATTTATAGTGTTATCTCATAAAGAAAACAACACTTTGACACTTATATAACACATTGATAAAGTTACCAATTGACTTGGAGGGGAGACTTAAATTAAAATTACTTTTGAATGAATTTTAACTTTTTTACTGTTAGGTTCATATTAAATTTATTTATAAAAATCTGTAAGAGGGGTGTTCCCTCGAAAGCATGCACCACAACAAATTTACATGATAATTGCAGACACTGTTTGATTGTGTCTGTACAAAAGTGCAACATCACCAACGCCCCCTAGCACCGACTTGAGCGGTACTGATTTTTTAACACTTAAAAATGTTGAAATCAATGATCCCGAATGATCAGAAAAATATAACAACACTGACTCAAGGGCCAACATTTTACGGCTGCCACTCGTTATCTCATTAGTCATATAATGCTTCACTGTGCAGTTTTGTTCTGATGAATTTAAAGACAATATAAATGAAGTTCAAATAAATTCTTTGCTTATTATAAAACCTTCATGTCTTATGTATGTAATAAAACACTTAATAGCATATAAAGATAAAAAAATAACCGTGCCTTATCTTTAGCGACTAACATGCCAAATGAAAATATTCAATTTCGTTTGGACTATTATCATGAAACAGATTTTCAGTGCGTATTAATTTGTAAATGAAATAAAAATACTTGGTTTAAACACAACCCAATTAGTTTTTTAAAACAAAAAAACAGCCCTGAACTGAACTTTTTTAAGTAACGATAAATTTTAAAGACTTTTTAAACTCCCCATGAAAATTTCAAATTAAAAATTTCCCTTATTTTCATAGAGGGTGTTAAATTACCCCAAGGGTTTTAAATGGTTTCCAAACCCCCATTACAATCCCAAAAGGGGGTAGTTAACAAAACCCAAATTCTTAAACATTTTTTATTTCAAGCGGGAAGCAAAAAACCCATCTAGCTCATTTCCCTTCCCCATAAAAAAATTTTTTACATGTTTTTTCATGAGTGAAAATGTTTTTTTGTTTAGGGGTTGTTAAAAAAGATCCATTTTAAAATTTAAAATGACATTTCGAGTTGGGGAAATTACAGTAGAATGGAAATGTTATATTAGTTGATAGTTCAACCTGCCCGACGAATTTTCTCTCAGTTGTCTGAAAAGAGAACTTTAGGTGATACTGTTAATACATGTATGTCATTTATATGACTTTTTAATAAATATATTTTCTCGTATGGATGTATATTAATTTATCTTTATCCACAGAATCAATATAAAATTACACTTTTTTAATTTTCTGTGATTAAAATCTTGATAAAAAGATCAGAACTTTGATGAAAAAATATATCAAAATGTGTGTATCTTTATCAGAATGCAATTGGTTATAACTATGTTACCAATAGAATAATATAAGTTTCCATTGAGATTTATTAATAACAAATTTATAATAAATATCAATTTAAATAAGTAGAGCAAATGATATGATAAACAATGACAACTAATCGGTAATACTACTAAACAATGAAATAATCGATGTAACAAATGAAATTTATCAATAACAGAATCAGAAATTCAACATTATTTATAAAATATGATACATTATATTGTTCTATGAATTATTCACTGTAATAATCTATCAGTTTTTTATCTTTTTTTTAAATGAAGAAATAAGCGGGGAATCTAATAATGAAATATGACAACCTACCCCTTAATATCTACAGTAATTGTTTCCCACTTTGATTTCAACGCTCTGCGTTCCTATCCTCCGAATACCGTTGGTTAGCTTTACATACATATGTACACTGTCTTGAAAGTTGTACATTTTTCTATTTTTATAACATCACTGTTTGTTTATATGTGTGTTAGGAATACGAACGGTCCCATTTTTTGTATAACGAGTAAAATGATATTCTGCAGGTCGCCCTTCGAGTTTACATTTAATTTGTGAATGGGTGGTTTTCAGTAGGAGTTGGCTACTGACATCAACAGTGACATCTGGTGCATCCTGTAAATAAAATATTGAAAACCTATCATCGTACACAAAAGACTGCAAACCAACAGCATATTTCTTAATTTATTGTAGTCTTAATAATTTTCACAAGACAGAAGTTTTCCTTGATAATTCTTTAAAAAATTAATAATGCAAAATTTGCCTCAATACAAAAGTAACTGAAAACCAGCAAAGCTTTAAAGTCAACATATCTACAATGAGTAACAGTGAAGTTTGTCCCTGACTTTAAAAAATTGAATTATGGCTTGCAACGTAACTATAAACCTTTAAGAATTGAAATTCAAATCTCATAAAGTAGATATTGCGCGTTGTTCAGTGCTCTTCGATTAAAATTATGATTTTTAACTTCAAACATACGATTTTGGTATCAAAGTAAAAGATATAATTGGGGGAAAAAAAGTAAAAAAATTTGGACCAACCTTATATTATTCTCAATAAACCTGAAGGTTAAAAAACGTTCGATAAAGATGAAATCCAGATTTACTAAATTTAAAAAGGAACAAAAATGGATCGTTTAGCAATAAAAATATGCATAACAACTTTACAGGTTAACAAACGGATAGCCCAATGTTTCTTCTGTACCAAAAGTTAATGGACTTTGGATAAATGAGTTTTGGATGTTGCTGTAAGCCCTAACATGTAGTTACCGTGGTCTGCTCTATCTATATCATTCAAATGACAAAGAAGGACCACTAGACTGTTGTCCCACCCAACTTACTGCTGGTGTTGGGGATTTCCAGTGGCATTAACATGTAACAGACAGGCGTTTTTTACCTTCATTTATCGTTATGGTAGTTTAGTTGTTTCCCATATTGGGTTAGGCCAAAACCCTGTACTCTTTTGGAGAATCTGGTAAAATTTGTGAAAAAATATAATTCATTCTTGAAGGGCATTATTTTAATTCATCGTCCGAAAAATAGTTTTCATTTCTTTTCTATTTATTTCAAGTACCCTTCTTCAACAAACATAGGTCTAAGTCAATGGGTTTTTAAAAGCATCATAAGAAGACAAAAGACTTCAACGCGTCTTTGCTAACAAAACCGGAACCTTTTACGGAGAAGTCTACGTAGGTATCGAAAGCTTTAAGTTTAAACTGCCGGATTGACATTGTAACATTCTTTTGAAATTCGGGTTTAAGTATAAATTTGAGTGAATCGTTTCCGTGCTTTTAAATGCCAATTAATATTTATTTTTTCTTACATTCCAACTTGTAAATAAGCAACTTTGTCTGGAACTGGATCTTGAAGAAACCTTTTCCTCTTGCGTAAAAAAAAATTCTTCAAACTGACATTTTTACTGGAACTTCTATCACTTGATATGTTAGTTTAAGATAAAAGTTAGTTTCCTTGTATCGGCCCAACAATCAAAGGTGTTCCATATTGGCGCGGTCCCATGGGTTGCTGTAGCTTGTAAAGGAAATTAGCCAATAATCAGATGAAAGGAAACGAATAAATACTCTTTCCCTGTCTGACCTTCTAAGAAATGGAAAGCCTGCTTGTTAGATAAACAAGTGTGAACATTTGGTGGCCCTGTAAATAAGACAAGTTTGTTAACTTTTTATATTTTAATATCAAATTAAACAGACAAGAACCTAAAAAAACATTCATCAAATTTTAATAAAAAATAACAAGGTTTTTAATCAGTTTTTTTCCCCACATCAACTCGCAATTTAAAAGTCGATAACAACTTTAGCCATGCTCGCGCCCCTTTAATTTATTGCATTTTTCCCGCCCGCATACTCTTAAAAAACCTAAGCATTATTAAGAAATATAAAATTTTAAGTCCATAAAAAATAGAAAAAACAAAAAAACTCAATAAGCTGACAGCTTATAAAACTATAAAAAAATAATATTAAAAGTATATGTTGGTATGGTATGTTTATACAATAATGTTTCATTGTAACATTTAGTTTAAACGCCTGAAACTAACAAAACTACATATAAATTAAGTTAACCTCTGAAAAATACCTTAACTGGAAAATTGTTTTTTAAAGAAACAAAACAATTTATGTACGTTT